TGGTCGCTTTATTGTTTAGTTGGTTTATGTTGGGTGTTTTATTTTTCTGTATAATTTCCTAGTATCCAGACACCTGCCTGTAAATATTTAATTAAAAAACCCCAAAGAAGTAGTTATGTTCACTGCTTGTATTTCACTGAAAGTGCTGGGCTGACCCAGATGGCAGAGATGATGACACCTCAACCATAAATCTAGACCCAAGAGCAGCCCTGTGTGGGCAGACACACCACATGGACGTGTAGAAATGGAGCTGCTGGCAAGGTTTCAACAACTTCATGCCCTCTATATTCTCACCCATGCTACTAACATTTCTAGACACCTAGAAAACCTGAATTTCAAACAATCCAATGGGAGGCAAAACCCAGGCTGCCTTCAGTGATTTGCTTGACGTGTCAGTAGTGGCCTTTAAGAGAAGAAATGCACTTTTTATATGCTTGTTAAAGAGAACTGTCAACCTCAGTTGGATTAAAAAATCTTTAATACTGATAAAAACGTTTGAATGGTTTTTAAAAAGTTTTGAAAGATGAACAATTCCCAGGCACTTCTGAAAGAAAAATATATAAACCTAAAAATCCCAATTAAAGAAAAGTGAAGGATTTCACTCTTTGAATGAAAACAGTGACAAGGGACAGGGGGTCATTACATTTTTCAGTAAGTCAAGATATCCTAAATCAACAGGTGAATACAGGTTTTAAATAGTAGTGTGTAAAAGCAGGTTTTAAAAAGGCCTTTTGTGAAATAACCTGTATCATTCAAAATGATCCAGAAGGAATATTTGGGACTCTGTTCTCCCCCCTCCCCAAACCCACATGCTTTTTATTGCAGGCATTTGACAGCATTTTCCTCTAGCCAGGGTCCCTGCCTGCTGTCCAACTGCATAAATGTTTATTTTATCCTGCATGAGAAAGGAAAAGCTTTAAAAAGACTTTAAAAAGTTAAGATGATTATAAAACTACAAAAAATTGGTACTGAAACAAAATCAATGTTAATGATATAAAAGCTTTTTTTTTAAAAAACAAAAAAAGATACAAAGCCCAGTTGGCTGAGGTTTGAGTTGAAAGCATCATTTAAATCCTCCCCTACCAAGAATCTGATTCTTGTGTGCAAACTGTGTGTCCCCAGGAATCATAGAATCATGGAGTGGTTTGGGTTGGAAGGGACCTTAAAGATGGTCTAGGTCCAACCCCCTGCACAGGCAGGGACACTTCCCACCAGCCCAGGCTGCTCCAAGCCCCATCCAACCTGCCCTTCAACACGGCCAGGGATGGGGCAGCCACAGCTTCTCCGGGCAACCTGGGCCAGGCTCTCACCACCCTCACACCCAGGAATTCCTTCCTCATGTCCAACCTCAATCTCCCCTCTTCCAGTTTTAATCCATCCCTCCTTGTCCTCTCCCTCCCTCCCCTTGTCTCAAGCCCCTCCCCAGCTTTCCTGGAGCCCCTTCAGGCCCTGGAAGGTGCTCTAAGGTCTCCCTGGAGCCTTCTCTTCGCCAGGCTGAACACCCCAACTCTCCCAGCCTGTTTCCTGAGCAGAGCTGCTCCAGCCCTTGGATCACCTTCATGGCCTCCTGTGGACATGGATATGAACATGGATATATTCCTTTTTAATTCCCAGAAACTGAAATATGAGTCTTGATCTAGACATACTTGGGTTTACTCAGTCAGCTTCTGAATGGTAACAAAAAAAAAAATAAATCAAAGCAACCCTCTCAGAGAGTTTTATTTTTCTAGACAATCAAAAGCTCCAGAACGCTCCAAGATCCACAAATAGAGTGAAATCACTTCTACAAACCAGGTTCAGTTTATAAGAATTTGTAATTTAAGCTAAAGGGCTTCAGTTATGAAACTGCCTTACAAAACATCAGTTAAATTAAATGACCACATCTGGAAGATTTACAAGGTCTTGCACCAAGAGGTTGAACTCCAAATGTATTCCTTTTGGGAAACACAGTGCAATATTGTGCAAAAGTGTGTTCAAATACTCCTAAACAAAGTCAATTACCTAGAGCCAAGACTTTAAGGTATGTAATCTGCACGGCCTTTAAAAAACATTGAGAAAGAGATTATATTAGAAACTACTTTCCTAAAAACATGATTTTTCAAGTCTTCATTGAGCACCATGTGAATATTTTAAAACAGCGACATCATTTTCTCAAAGCTTGCAGAGGCTGGATCTACAGTGGAAGATTTCAGGAAATAACATCCAAAAACTAAGTGGAAAGCACAGCAAACAGCTTCACATTGAACATCTGGTCACAAGAATGTGGATAAAAACTACATCCTCTTCTAACTACAAAGGACTCCACAGAAAGCAAAGCAGCACAACCTGACAGATCAACAGGAAACATCATAGAATCATAGAATATGCTGAGTTGGAAGGGACCCATCAGGATCATTGAGTCCAACTCCTGTCCCTGTGTAGGGCACCCCAAAGATCACACCAGGTGCCTGAGAGCATCATCCAAAGACTTCTTGACCCCAGGCAGCCTTGGTGCTGTGACCATTTCAATCTGGGTGGTCACGCTGAGCCCAGAGTGTGAACAGCAAACCCCCCCACCCCGACCCCCTGTTGCACAAACCTTAACACAGCTCCATTCTCTACGCACAAGACACACAAGAACAACCTCTAAGACCAAAGAAAGGTTGAAGTAAAACCATGGGAGGTGTCTGCAGACAAGCCTGCAGCTCTTGTTACACACAGGCTTTCCTACAGGTTCATTTTCCCTACTCTGGATGTCTTCACCCCCTCCGAGTGAGCTGGCCTGCACCTCAGCACAGCTCAGCTGTGTGAGAAGCTACATCTTCTGACAGTTTTGTCGTGGCACACTAGCCAGAACCAGGCTGAGCTGATATTCCACATCCAGCTGCCAACATTTACCATGAGGTCACATCTTCATGCCAGAATGACCAGGAATTGGGATGCCTGGTCACTGAATAGAACTTCAGATTCCTATTTACATTCTTACTCCTTTCCTTATCAAGTTCATGTCCTAACAAATACCACTCTCCTGACTCTCTTTCAGGTGTTCTCATACACAGAAGTCCTTCCTTTATCAGATAACCAGATGCAAAAAAAATATCCTCTGATGTTGGATGGACTCAACAAAAATGGAGTTGTTGTCCAACAGACCAGGCCTGGTAGGCTGGATGTGGCATTTTCAAGTATCCTGCCATTATCTACAAGGCCAAATTTTGCTCAGGTTTTCAAAAGTGCCAAGGACCCAAAAGCACAGCAGGATTTTCAGAGGAGCTCAGCTCCAAATCTGGCATCTACATGAGTCGAATTTTGAATGATCTTCGTCTAGATGACTGAAGAAGGGACTATAAAGCCCTGAATTTTTTAGAGATCTTGTGCCACTGAGATTTTTCTGTGGTGATGTGTGGCACTATCATCTGTTCAGCTCTTAGGAACTCAAATTTACAGATAACCTGGAACAGGGACTACTGAAAATTTATGCAGCTGAACTTACAGAAAATAAACATAGCAGATAATGCCAGCATCTCCTTGAGAAGGTGGCACTCATCAAGAACTTGGACCAGAGAGACTACAGGACTGCTGCTCCACCGGAGGATGAAGCAGACAGAGAAGATGAATTGTTCTTTTTCAATATGTAAAATAAAAGCTTTTTAAGTTCCATCTAATGTTTGCCAGGTGGAAAGTCTTTATATCAAGAACCCCAAGAAGCACCATCCTGTCAGGTGGGAGGAACTGCTCATCCTTTGTCAGCCACATCTGTCTACGGGCTCCTGATCCAGCACTTTCTCCAGCTCATCCACAATTTGCCTTTTCATGAACCACAGATGAACAACATAGTGAAGAAGAACTAACAAGTCTCATTTCACAGTATATTCCAGTTTTGTCTATTCATTAGGAAACAGTAGGTGACCCATAAGCAAACAGGCTTTCTGATGATGCTGTGTTTTCTTCTAAAGGTTCCCAGCTTGCTTTTTGATAACTTGGGTCAGCTTGGTACTGGGAAAGTGAAAAAATATTTCACCTCCTTTGAAAGCCAACATTTATCTGTCCCAGCAAAGGAACATGAGGTCCACGCTGAAGTGTGAAAAACAAAACAGTACTTGGATAAATTCACATACCAACATAAATGATGAGAAGGATCACCAAAGACTAAAAGAAAAGACAGTAAAAGATAAAAGAAAAGGACTTGAACACAACCAGGCTAGTAAAAATTGCTGAGATTTCCTACCCAATTGCTTCAAAAAGGGTGTTCAGAGCTCTTTTATATGCATGGCTCAGAGATTGGTGTTTCACTGCTCCTCAGCTACATCAGTCTGGCTACTTAATCTGCCAGAATCAGAACTCCTGAGTAACCTAATGGGCATCTTTGAACTTCTGCTGCAAAAAGCTGAAGAGAACTGGGCAGTTTCCTTGGTCTAAACTGAGAGACCAGGACACTGCACCAGGATGTGTGCTTAATGTTTCTTAAGCCAAGACTACTGAATGTCTGAATGACATTTAAGACACATCTGAAGATCTGTAGTCTGAGCTCTTGAGAGAGGAAGATGCAGTAAAAATTGAGGAGAAGCTTGCTCTCTAGATACCTGCAGTTATGTATTTGTTCTTGCTGTCTGTGCTTTCAGCACCAGCATATTTTGTTACCCTGGTTTCCAGGTCAAATCCAGTCTAAGCCAACACTTGAGGTTTACAATTTAGATAATACTGTCCTATTACAGAAGGATCACAGCTTAGGCTAGAAAAGTCCAAGGTAATGGATGAAAACTACATTTCTGTTGATGTAATCTTCAGAGAGGAGATGATGCCCCTTTCAGATCAGGGATTAAGGACTCTGAGTGCATTGTTTGAAGAAACCTGCTCTTGAAACAAAACAGAGATGTTCCACCTGCTACATCAAAACTAGGAGGCAGAGACACCACTGGGAATTGCTCAAGCACAACCTCTGTAAACCCCGGTCAGAAGATTCTTCACAGATTCCTGGTGCACAGCACTGAAAATGTAAAAGTATTAAAAATTCCAATTCTCCCCACTCTTCTATTAAAAAAAAAAAAAAAGGAATAATAAAACCCAGCACAGCCTCACTAACTGGGCAGATATGCACTTGTCTGTTGCAGACCAACCACTGCCAGGGAGACTCTTTCAATCCTCCCCCTCTCCTCCACTGCTACATCAGTGTTTCTCGGTCTGATAAACTCCTGTGGATTTCCTGCTTGTCGTCACCATCCTCATCATCAGCAGGATCGTTTTCCTCTCCAGACTCCACATAGATGGGCCAATCATTATCAGCATCCCCCTTCTCTTGGCCCTCTGATGAAGGCTCCATCAGGCTGAGGTTGATGGGCATCGAGTCCTCGTGCGTGGTGGTCACACAGGTGCAGCTGTCACACAAACCAAAGCGTCGTAACCCTTGGGACAAGCTGCTGGTGAATGTTCTCCTGCAGCCTTTACAGATGATTGGCTTATTTGATCGATGCACCTGAAAGTAAAGAAGAAAACATGGTGAAAATGGAGAGCTGCCTTCTTGCTTTAGCTCCTTCTGGGGTTATTTCCTAGGACAGAAAAACATTTACACTAACATTTACTCTGGAGCCCCCAACACAAGAAGGACATGGACCTGTTGGAGTGTGTCCAGAGGAAGGCAGTGAAAATAATCAGAGGGCTGGAGCACCTCCCTTATGGAGACAGACTGAGGGAGTTGGGGTTGTTCAGCCTGAAGAAGAGATGATTTCAGGGGGACATTATAGGGGCCTTCCAATACCTGAAAGGGGCTTGTAAGAAGGCTGAGGAAGAACTGTACACAAGGGCATGTAACAGTAGGACAAAGGGTGATGATTTTAAGCTAGAAAAGGATAGATTTGGGTTGAACATGAGGAAAAAGTTCTTTAACATGAGGGTGGTGGATCATTGGAACAGGTTGCCTGGAGAGGTAGTGGAGGCCCCATCCCTGGAGACATTCAAGGTCAGGCTTGATGGGGCTCTGAGCAACCTGGTCTAGTGTGAGATGTCCCTGCTTATTGTAGGGGGGTTGGACTAGATGACCTTTAGAGGTCCTTTCCAACCCAAGACCTTTTATGATTCTATGATTAAGCTAAAGGGCAGATGACCCCACCAGATTTCCAGCTGCCAAGATACAGGGCTCCATAAATACTAATGAACCAAACACCAGCTTCAACTTACTATTGCTGAAGTTTCTCTCGCTTTGGCAATAACCACTTTGTCCAACACATTCTGGGAAATCCAAGGGGGGAATACCAAACCCTTTCAAGCATTTCCTGGTGGAATGCAGACCCCCAAACTCACACTCAGAGCGTGGCTCCGGAGGTGCTCCTGCCGCGTGAAGCGCTTCCCGCAGGTCTCGCAGGGATAGGGCCTCTCCCCGGTGTGGGAGCGGATGTGCCGCTTGAGAATCCCCTTCTGCTTGGCCGTGTAGGGGCAGAACGGACACTTGTGAAGCTTGATGGGCACAACTAACACATCACCTTTTGGGAAGAAAGCAAAGAGAGCACAGTGAGTTAGGCTGGGCACTTCAGCAGGCTGAGCTGTGCTGGCTCTTGTCTTCCTGGCTGCAATTCCCACTCGGGACAGCTGCACTTTCCCCTCACGTGGTGCTTCCCTTACCTGGGTGTTCCGTGGGCTGTGCCATTCCAGGAGACATTCGTGCAGCTGCAGATGATCAGGGCACTTGACATTCAGCCTGCCTGTACTTACAAAGCTGATACTCTAAGGGAGCTGCGCTCATGACAGAAAAACAAACTCATTTTATTTTAAGAAGCCATTTAATTAAGTGCCAAACATTTGCTTTTAGTGCCGTGGGTCTCTGCACTATCTTAGCCATAGAAAGTCTTCTTCCTTTTTAAAGATACCATCAGCTTTGAACAGCATTAGAAACAAAAATCTTTACCACCAATTACAAGTAGTCTAATGGTTCCCATGTGCTTTTACAAAGGGCATAAATTTAGACAGGGAAATGCATCTAAAAATGGGAATGTTTGTTTCTACTGCCATCCACTTCAGCCTTTCTATTGGAAATAACAAGGGTACATTTGCTGATGATCCTTTGCTTTTTTAAAAAAATCCAACTATATGCACACAAGTAATATGTAAAAAGAGAGAGTTAAATCTGAAGATCACATCATTCCTCAACATGGGTAGTGCCAAATGTTTCAGTACCAGCCCAGATATGAGCTTCCTTCCCAGTATAAAGGTTGCAATGTTCTACTAAAAGATGAGGCTTCCTTCTTGCAGGTCCTGATCCAGGAAAATGTTTTCATATCAAACCCTGAGCTCTCCAACAGCTACACCAAAACAGGTGCTGCAGAACATTCCTTGGGGGAAGGTTCATTCAACCCAGTCTCAAAAGAAAGGAGGGTTCAGTATCAGTGATTATCAAGTGACATTAATCTTACCCAATTCTGGACTCTGTACAGGTGACTGTTCACCCTCCACCAGCTGTGAAGGGGACCAGGATGACTGGAACAGACATGGACACTTGAAAGTAAGTGGCATTTACCACCTCTGTCAGCCTGACTGCATGAGAGGCATTTTATTCCTCATTTCTGGAGTCTTGTGAGAGTGCTAAGATAGCAGGAGCACTAAAAGCTGAGAGGAGATACTTCCATTCTACTTAAGATGTTCAGTTTTAGCAGAGAAATGTAACTAGTGCAAGGTTTGGGTTTTCTCCCCCTCTCCTATTTAAAGCACATCATTGACCAGTAACATTTCTAACATGTTGCCATAACACCTGATGTTCTCTAATTCTAAGCAGCATTTCCCTTTTCATGACTCATAAACAGTCTGAAGATTTTAAGAGGGGGAAAAAAGGAAGCAAGGTCTGTGTGTTACAAGCTCTTGCCTTGCTGCAGGTCAGAAACCATGAGCAGGACCTGTGACAGCACCTGGTGACTTCAGTCTTTTGGTGACTCTGAGGCTGCGTTTGTGATTTTGTCCTTATCAGTGAGAGATAAGATTTGGTTTATTGACTTTAAGATCACACATGCTTGCTTGAGCTGGAAATGACATGGAGATAAGCTTGCTGTCTAGAGTAGAATGGTCAGGGCAAGGTTTCCTCCCTGCTGCTCACACCAGTGTTGCATTTGTCACCTCCTGGGCAGCGATGGCACCTGCAGTTTGTCACAGCCACCTCCTGTCTCCATAGCTGGGATGAGGCAAGTTGTGTGCCAGCATCAACACAAGCAGAGAAAATGCCCAGATCCTTATTATCCACTTCAAAGGAAATGCACATGGACATGACCTTCCTCTTCTCCAGGTCCCTGACACTGCTGCTGGGAGACGTTCCTGCCAGGCAGAAACATCCCAAGAGGTGCTGGGCTTGAGAAAGCAGCAGGACCTCCATGAGCAGCTGAAAAGCATATCTGCCTCTAGAAGTTAAGTCTTGTCTTTGTGCAATACCAGAGTTTAAAGCTTTCAGGGCTCTTAAAGAATGTTTAGGGATTATTCAGTATTGAACAAAACTGATTTCTGCCCTTCCAGAGTTGAAAGTAACAGGAAAAAGACCCATCATCGCTGCCAGGAGCTCCAGGGGAACAAGCTACTTCAGCTCTGTCAGGTTCTACAGCAGATCCCTCTTGTGGCAGCTCAACTTTCTGATTGATCTTTTTTAAACTAACATTAAGAGGAAGAATATTCTTTTTAAAAATCCACCTGCCATTCAACAAGGTCCCAAACAAGATTGTTTATTAAGGCAGCATCACCACCACCACCACCACCAAGCTCCAGCATCTGGTTCAAAGAGATGTTATAAACACTTACCTCCCAAGTGCTGCACTGAATAAATGAGTACAGCTTTCTTTTGAAGTCCAGAACAATAGTTTATTTTGCTACTGCATCATATTCAGCAATATATTCCTGAACAAGAAGGGGAGTAACACAGGAAGTGGCACAACTAAGCAGTTTCCTCCTCAAATTATACAGACTACACCCTCCCTGAGTCCTCTCACCTGTGTCCTCACCATACCAGTCGCTGTGAATGTCCATCATGGAACTCATGGCTACCCCTGCATCCTCTGGCCTACCCTCAAAGCCCCGGACAAAGTGATGAACCACATCATCCTTTCTCTGAGCCGAGCTGTTGCGCAACAGGGCCTCTAGGAATTGTTTCATGTGGTAATTATTGCAGGCCAGGTCCATGGCCTGCCCGCCGTGCAGCCCCTCTTCCATCTGCTCCAGGGACAGGGGGGTGGGATATTGTGGCAGGCGCGTTGCCCCCCCCCCCCCCCCC